TACTACTACTACTANACGACGACAACGACGACGACGTTACTACTACTACTACTACTACTACTACTACTACTACTACTACTACTACTACCACTACTACTACCAACACTAATACTAATACTAATACTACTACGACGACGAGTAGGTTGAGGAGTATGGAGAAGAGAAGAAGGAGGAAAGAGAGGGATCGCGCGGTGGTCGACACGCGGGGCTGAAGAGAGGGGCGCGAAGGACGCGAAATGAAGAAATTCTATCTACATTTCCAACCCTTCATGCAGCGTCTTACCCCCTTCGCGTTTCTACCCTCTTCCTCGGGCACCCTCTAGCACCTCAACTCCTCTTACCTATCCCTTCTTTTCTCTTTCTTCCGGCAGCGTTTCTTCGTCTCCTTCTTCCGCTTCTTCTTCTGGCGTTTCGTTCCTTCCACTACCAGGACAGTACCGAGCATAGGAAACCACCCTACGAACGGTTGTCTTCTTCCCGCGCGTACGGTGTCCCCTCAATCCGCACCGCACCACGAGCAACCATCCCCTTGAGACAATACGACCACCTCTTTCTCTACCTTCTCATCTACCTCTTGCCCCTTCCCCACCTCTTACTACTTCTACTACTTTTCCTCCACCTCCGTTTCTTCTTCTTCTTCTTCTTCTTCTTCTTCTACGTGTTCTTCTTCTACGTGTTCTTCTTCTACTTCTTCTTCTTCTCCGTATTCTTCGGTTGGTTCCTCCTTGAAGCAACTTCCACTTGTTCATCTCGCTTCAACCCCTTGAAAAGCGGCATTGCTAGCTACCACCATTACCATCGCGACTAACACCAAGTACGGTAGGGTTGCTGCGCCGCATTTCTTTCTTCCGTTCCAACCCCCGCGTAGTTCGTTCTCTCTCGCGCGTCCTACTACCACTTCTTTCCCTTTTCTTAAATACAAAAGCGAAAATTTTGCTTATTAGAATATTTCCAGGAGGTTGCGCCACCCTTTCTCTCATTTTTTTTCGTTTTCTCCTCTCTTCTCCCAAGAGATACCCCCCCGACTGTCGCTGACTATGCGAGACTTTAATCATTATATGTTATATGGTGCCGAAAATGTAAAAACGATCGACATGGTACAATACTCGACTCGACACGCACAACGTGGCCCAGCGAAAACTACAGAGAAAAGAGACATTTTTGTAAGAAAAAAAAGGCAGAAGTGTGGGGGTGGGGGGTAAAAAAGAAAAAAAAAACTAAGGAAAAGAATATCGGAATATTCGCGTGGAAGGATACGGTAGGGAGTTTGGAGCGCGATCTAAGATACCGAATGATAGGGGGAGGCTGTTGTTGAAAGAGAGAGGGTGAGACTGTAACAAACAATGGGAAGGTAGTCTTGGCGGACAATAGCTCGTGTGGAACAAACACATCTCACCCGTTCACCGTTTCTCACCCTCTTCCACCCTCTCCATCCTCCGAGCCGGTATGCTACCACCCACCCTGTCCCTTGCACACAAGTCGCACAACTACCATCACCACTACCGCTACCACTACCACTACCACTGTGAGAGTACATTTTCCTCTGGACTCGACGATACTTGTATGTTTTTAAGCTGCAAAAGCACCGATACGTCCATAGATACGGCTTAGAGAAGCAAACCGTTGTCGAAAAAGAAATGAGTTCGTCATACAATGCGACTTGATTTTTCTATGTTAAACAAAGAGTTAATTGTTGGAGAGTATAAAGAACCAGACCAAAGGTACCACCGCGACGCTTCGCAACCTGAAAATCTTTCAAAAGATTTATTCTACTGAGATACTATAATAAGACGTGCATACATACATACATACATACATACATACATACGCACAGCACATACCTACGTATTTATATACGTTCAACAGTAGCGAACTTTTTGTCGAAATATTTTTGAAAGACTACAAAAGTTTGTACTACATTTCCTTTTTTTTCAATAAATTTCCAGTTTGTTTACGAGTCATATGAATTTTAACAGAGAAAGGATCGTAGGATCTTTTCTATCGATACTCGATCCTCGTCGACGTTCTTTAAACTTTCCAACGATCCTTTGAAATAGATGTGTTTCCATCGATCGTTTGTTGTATGTCGGAAAGAAGATCTACGAAAACTTACGGCTCCTCGACGCAATCGATCGTCAAAAGTCTTATCGTCTTTTCAAACTTTCACTTGAAGGGGGAGGGAGCGCATATGTTTGTTGTTATATTCCAAATGATGGTTTCAATGACTTTCGACGTCGACTGATAATAGACCTATATCGATAACAAAAGCGACCTTGACTATGTTGCCAGTTGACGTTTTCGTCGAAGGGCTCGCGAGGTTGGTGAGAAAAGGGGGTAGAAAGTTGGTTGGCAAAAGGGAGTCGGGGGTACGGAGGACGAAATGAGGGTTCCTGAGTTTTTGCCAGGCGATCAATAAAAGTCTCTGTGCTCTCCTCTTATACTTGTCGTATAACGAAGTAGGCTGGCAGCCCTGTAAGGGTTTGGGTACGTGGCCCGGTGCGTGCATTAATTCCACCTCCGCCACCTCTCACTCTCTCTCTCTCTCACTCACTTTCTTTCTTTCTTTCTTTCCTTCTTTCTTTCTTTCTTTCTTTCTTTCTTCCTTCCTTTCTCCCTCGCTCCGTCTCACCCTCTTCCCCACTCATTGTCCCTCTCTCTGGCAGAGCATAGCGCTAAAACCACCCTGCTTCGTCTTTTCTCCTTCTTCTCATTTCTTCTTCGGTTTCTCCTGCTCGCGCTTCCTCCTCTTCTTCCGCTTCTGCTTCTCTACTCTCTTTTTCTCTTTTTCTCTTTTTCTCTCTTTGTCTTATTTTCGACTCGTTCCATCAACTCGTTCCATCCTTTTTCCTCTAGGCCATCGTACGCTATCATTTTCTCTCAGCATTTTCTCGTCTCAACTTATCAGCGCTCGACGCCTATAAGAGCCACACGCAGTCGGTTACCGAGAATACAACGATGAAAGTTGCTTGATTCGTTACCCTAATCGAGAGAAAGAGGGAAAGAGAAAGAGAGAGAGAGAGAGGGAAAGAGAGGGGGGGAAAGGAAAAGGCTGCTTCCCAAGGAACTAAGAAGGAGGAATTGGGCTGTGTTTCAAGAATACTCGACGTACATATACTATATTCCTTTCGTACCGTTTCTTTGTTTCGTTTCATCCCAACATACTCTCTCTTTCTCGCTCTCTTTCTCGCTCTCTTTCTCGCTCTCTATCCCGTTCGCACGGCCGCTCGTCTTTGCTATTCACTGCAACATCTCTTATTTCCTTTGCGTTTCGACGTACACACAGGTACTTTTCCTTGCTCGGCTTTTCTATCGGCCGCCCTACCATTCGGTCATTGCGTTTAACGTAAAAAATGCTCGCTTTCGAATTCGGTTTTGTTGATCCAAGCTTATGTAAATACATTATCTTAATTAGAAAAATGTTGGGACTGGAGAAAAAGCGCTTCTGTTCTTTATATTTTGCATTTTCGCTAAGCGGGCATGCACTATTTCGACATAGTCGGGACGAAGTTTCCGCGAGGTAGCGAAACACGCACAATCATGCGACTGTTGGAGTTTCAAGTGGGACGAAGCTTTGAGAAAAGAGTCGTATGATAAGATAAAGCAACTAAGCAGTCGAGTCGTCGTCGTCGTCGTCGTCATCGTTGTCGTCGTCGTCGTTGTCGTCGTCGTCGTCGTCGAGTAGTCGAGTCCTTTACGTGTACAGATAGGTTTTTTAAAAGAGAGTAATTAAATATCGTCGAGTGTGTCTTTAAAAGACAAATTTGCAAAGAATAACGTCTTTAAGAAAAAAAAAAAAAAAAAAAAATGTACGTAAAAGGATTTTTTCTGTCCTCCTTCGTTGTCCTTCTAAAGGGGTAATAGATAGGTATATCCAGTCCATAGGAATAACATTTCATTTGGTTTCCTTTTCTATCGAAGATCATTTTTTGATGAAAATAATATAAGAATTGTGCATCCTCCGAAAGTTTCTATTGTCGTTGAACACAAGAAGGATGTAAAGAAAAGAGGGTGACACTAGTTTTTCGTAGCAGCTCTCACCTAGCAACGTTTTCTTAATCATCATTCGTCTATCTCTCGATATTAGAGAAGAGAAAAAGTGGGGTGGCCGAACACGAGGGGGTTACCAAGCGGCGTCGAGAAAGAACGGGGTAGGGGAATACAGAAGTATGTAAAAGTAGTAGTAGTTGTAGTGGTAGTAAGAGAAGGAGTAAAGGAAGGTGGCGTTGGAAGGAGTAGGACCGTGGGGCAACAAGGAGGGACAGAGGGCAAGAGCGCGTAAAGAGAAAAGAGCGAAAGGTGGAGGTGGCGGAGGAAAGAGAGGGTGATGGAGAATCAACCCGAGAAGAACGAGAATGACGGCGCGAGGGGGCGAGGGGGGGGGGAGTGTAGAGGGTGAGGGGCACCAAGCCTCGGCGCTCCTTACTCCGCCCAGCATCCAAGATGGCGTTGGCGCGGCTCTCCTCGTCATTAAAATCAATAATTAAAAAATACATCCGTGGGCACCTTCGCTTTTCTAGCGCCTCGTGACGCGTGCTCGGGCGCCACCCGAGCGTCACGGCGTCGGCAGCGCCGAAGACGACGACGACGACGACGACGACGACAACGCCATCCATTTGCGTTCCGATCCTCGTGCGCGCGAACCAAAACTCCCCCCTAAACACACACGAGTACTTACTAAGAGTATTACAATTAGTTAACATACCTGACCTAAAGAAATACCTTCTTCCTATATCCTATTGAAGCTATTCCTTTACATTTAGAAATAATCTTATGGCCTTGGAGGCAAAAAAATATGTTTTTCTTCAAAAAGGGAAACGTGATTTATGACCGATCCTATGGACGACAGGGTTGTGAATGGAAATCCTTGAACCTACATATTCTATTGAAAAATAAAAATAAATTCTACACTCTCTCTCTCTCTCTCTCTCTCTCTCTCTCTCTCTCTCTCTAGGTGTCCGTCAGCATTCACATGTCACATGTCCGCTGGCATGTGAAGAATTTTAAGTCGAAAATAAAAAAAGATGTAGATAAAAGATGCATTTAGAAGGTTTTTCGAATAAGGAAAAATAACGGCAAAAGTTGAATGGTATATTCTATTGTCTCTTTGGAATAGAACGAGAAGTAAATATATCGGATGAATAAGAGAGGTGGGGGAAAAAGTGGAGACTTTGGTGTAACGCACGTTAAAGGTTCGATGGAAGAATGGTGGTGAGTAGAAGGAGCGATACGTTGGACAGGAAAGGAGAAGGAGGGTCCGATGGGCTGGTACCCACACGGTTGGAGGTGGCACGAGGAGGTGGGACTCTCGTCCCATTCTCCACTTTCAGTGGCAAGTCCGAAGAGGCAGTCACAACGCGACTGCTCGAAGAGTCGGGCCGGCCGCCTGTCGTAACATACAACAAGAGGACTACTCACGCATGCACGCACGCACGCACGCACACATCATACACTTACGAGTGCCACTACGTGTCTGAAACACATGCCGTACGGATTGACAAACGAGCTCCTTAAACATAGTGTGTTACACGTTACCGATTATCACGCGAATTTATCAATCAACGCGAAGATACGACCGCGAGTGAATACACATTGAAATACAGAATTGCACCCAAGTGCGCGCTTCTACGAGCTTATAACAAAATTAAGGATCGTTTCATCAATGTGTGAGTTTTACCTTAATCGGATACCAAAGTCCTTGTACCATGAAAACCAGGGAAGAACGTTGCGGCCTATTCGATAGTTTCCAACGTCTCTTATGTTTTAAATCCTCTTGCTTTTCTTCTTCTCCTCCTTGGCTTCCTTCAATTTTATCCTCCACACTTATTTCTGATCTTACTTATTGTTTTTATTTCTGTTCTTTTCTTTTCTTTTTTTGTTTCTTTATTTTTTTCACATGAACGCGTTTTTGAACGATAATGACGGGGAGCAGCAGCGTCGATCAATCCGATTTCTTCGTTTAGTGTTGTGAAATAGATATATCAAAATATGATATAAGAGAAAAAGTGTGTTGAAAAAAATAAAGAAACGGAGGGAGAAATAATCCCGCAGCAAAGAAAGTTGAGAAAAGAAAGAAGAGGACGGAACCGTTCCAAGCGTACGTATCCTTACGTATTCGAGACTCATTCACTCTTACTTGTTTTTTTTTTGTCTTTTTGGTTTTTTTGGTTTTTTTTTTTTTTTTCTAAACTTTTTCGTTTGCGACAAACAACAAATAGCACACAAGAGCGAGCGAGCGAGCGAGCGCGGATAATAAAAGAAAAAGAGGGCTTTAGGGAGGTTTTGAAATAAAAAGCAAAGGCGTCACTGGCTGCTAGTCGATCTTGGGGGTCGATCGAAAGGAGGGCCGCGAAAGGTGGTATACCGGTGGTGGACGCGATAGTGGTCCGCGTCAGATGGTAATACTAGTCGAGATTGGTAGTGGTAAATTTGTGCGGAGGGGAAGCGAAGAAAAGCACGCGAGGGTGGGTTAGTATCGGGAGACGCGCGGGAAAGACGCGCAACGCAAGAGAAAGAGAGAAGGTGGAGAACGAGCGTGCTTCGAAAGGAGAGAGGACGAGGATCGAGGGAAGGGTAGGAAACGAGAGTGGCGAGGGACCTGCGGGGAATCTTAGGAGGGGCGCTTAACGTCACGGCGCATTCACTCACCGGCCGTCGCCGACGCCGCTGTGCCGCACACGCGTTCCATACGATACGGTCAGTTTTCTCTTATAAACGTTTATTACACCTTCCCACCCCCGACACAAATCCAACAGCTTTTTGTCTTCAATGGTTAGCTTATAGCAGTGTTGCAAATAACTCGTCGAATTTTGCAAAAAGTGAAACCGTCTTCGTTGCCAAGTGAAAATCAAGGATATATATACGTTTGTTCGTTGGTTCGTTGGTTCGTTGGTTCGTTGGTTCGTTGGTTCGTTGGTTCGTTCGTTCTTTTGTGCATTTGTCCAGCTAATAAATTTTCTATCTAGAGTGCATAGTGGGTGATATTGTCGAAGAATCAGCTGATCGTTTGGGGCGTCGCGCGCTACCTAACTCTCCCCTCTCTTTCGTTCCTTCTCCTCTCCCCGGCCGCCGCCGCTCCCGCCACCGCTAGTCACGCTCCGTCTCTCTCGTTCTTCTCGTTCTTCTTGTTCTTCTACCTGCACTTCCTGTACTATATTCCGAGAGAAAGCACGAGGAGAAAAGATGAGTCACGCGGGTGGTCCGCAAAGTCGCTTTTAGTTTTCCCGCCAAGTGAGATATCACATCAAAAATATCACATGAGATATCTTCGTCAGTTTTCTTCGCGGCCGATGCTGATTAAAGAAGAGATCAAATTTTGCTAAATAATTGTTATTTTGACAAAAGTTGAAAAGGCAAAAGAACCGATTGTTCGATTAACGCGTGTGAATTATATTATATTTTATTATTTCCAAGTAACATTAGTTCTCATCATCAATCGGGCCCAAGTTCGCGCGTCAGTGCTTTCAATCGTTTTTTCATACCCTCCCTCCCTGTCGCCTTCTTGCAAAAGCAAATCGTCCAAAGTGTACCACAAACTACGTGCTTAAAGTTATTTTAAAAATGGATAACATTAGACCAAGAGGACATTGGACGTTTTTACAAATTTGACAAAAGGATTTTAGTGCCGCGAGATTCCTCCTTAAATCTTGAACAGTGTTACAAAGGTGTCGTCACCTCATCTGTTTCTCTCGAAAGAAAAACAAGTGTAAGTGTGACACGGTGTATGTTGCGTACGAGCCGAAATATAAACATTCGTTCACATTTCAAATTGGTTATGCGTCAAATTTGGATTCGATAACGATTGTATGTTTATTTGGATGAATATTGATATCTTTCAAACGTGCCCATCGAAATGGGCACAAATCTTTACAATGATCGCGTCACTCTTACGCTCGTACGTTAAAACGCGGTCGTTTACTGAAGGCAAAATATCGATCTTTTCTTTTCCGATCATCATTTTCTAAATCTACAATATACAAACAAGTTAAGTCTGAAATTTTCAATGAGCATGTAACTCGTTTAACGAGTCGTTAATTAGCTAGATACAAAATCGGAAGGTTTTCGCGCGCGCACAACCGCTCGGATCGTCTAATTATCGTATACAACGTGTTCGACTTGATCTCGTCTCCCTTAAATCCCTTCAAATCCTAATTTTGCCTCTATGTGTTACTTTAGCATTTTGTTCTTCTTAACAAACTGCCTATAAACTCGTTGACGTAACTCGTTGACTCAACATACGCGGGAAAATATCTTTTCGAATCGTCATTCGACAATATTCCTAATTAATCGCTTTACAATTGTTTCCTATAGCATTGCTTGAAATATTAGAGCAACAATAGTTTAGCGAATAATTGAATATATTGTATTTTACCCCCCGATCATTTCGTCGTCGCTGTCCTCGTGTATCTCTTGTGAAAAAACCAGAGTTTCGAGAATATGTAGAAAGTGTAAATATTAGACGCGTTAGTAAAGCTTTTTACTTTAGAAAACAACGTGCATTGACGTCGAAAGATCGACGACGAAAGATCGATAGATACGTCGCAAAATAAAAAAAAAGCACAAATACGCGAAGAAAATGAAAATAATTGAGTGTTCGTTTATACGTTTAGCTCGCAACCGCGGGGCGTACATGTGTGCATGGAAGAGGAAAACGATCGCGCCATCGGTAGAAACGAAGGAGAACGAGGCGGAGGTGGAAGGCCAGGTTGCCTCCGCCAACAACGGCGACGAGGCCGTTGAGAAAATGTCTAGCACCGCGGAAAGTCCCGATGGGATGGCTTTTCAGTCACACTTCTCCCTTCGATGGAACAATCATCAAGCTCATATACTTCAATCCTTCGAAGCTCTTTTGCAACAAGAGGAGTTCGTCGACGTTACCCTGGTTTGCGCCGACACTAGATACAGGGCTCACAAGGTCATCCTCAGCGCTTGCAGGTTTGAATTTCTTCTCAATTCATCTTTTTTTTCGTTTCCTCCTCCAAGGCTATAATAATATGCTGGTGAAACTTGTGAAAGGAGTGAAACGTGTGAAACGTGTGAAACTTACCTTATGTAAGCTTTATAAGAAGTTACATCTAACATTTACATCTTTTTACGAGGATCGCGATTTGACGAGCTTCTTACGTTACGCTCGTACATTTCCTTGTAATCGATTAAACGGCTTGGATCAATTCATCGGAGGGTTGAAAAAGCGCGCCTCTGGCGCGCAAAGAGAAATAAGCGTTTGCCTCTTTCTTCTCTGCTTTTTCTACATATGTCTTTTATACTTTTTTTTTTTTTTTTTTTTTACCTTTTACTATTATTTCCTTGAGAAATAAGCCGTGCTAAGAACGAAGAATAAGTCGAGAGAGAGAGAGAGAGAGAGAGAGATAAGATCAGGATTTTGGATTAAAGTTATAGACCAAAAAAAAGGATCTTTTCGAGATCTCTTCATCGGCATTATTTTCATCACCTTCTATTATTTTTTTTTTCTTTTACATTTATATTTTATTATATTTATTTTTATTAGTATTTATTTGTTGTTAATATATTTTTTATTATCTTTGTATTACCTTCAATGTATTTTAGCCCCTTCTTCGAGAAAATATTCGCGGCCCATCCGTGCAAGCATCCGGTGATCGTACTCAAGGAATTTCCCGGTTCGGAAATCTCGGCATTGATCGACTTTATGTATCGCGGAGAAGTGCAAGTCAGTCGAGAAGAATTGCCGGGGTTGATGAAAGCAGCGGATAATCTGCAAATTCGAGGATTGACCTTGAAGGAACTAAGGGAATCATCACCGTCGGATACTCAAATGGCCGATTTCAATTTTGGCGAGCCATCTACGCCGGAGGAGGCTAGGCAGGATACTCCCGAAGAGGAGGACAATGCATCGGAAATCGTGGCGGCGACGGCGGCGGCGGCGGCGACAACAACAACAACGATGACGACGACGACGACGACGACAATGACGACGACGATGACGGCGACAGCGACAACGACGCCAACAACGACAACGACGGCG